CCAGTGCCACATCCTGTGACAGGCTCCTTCCGTGCATACATCACCTGTGATCCCGTATGGGTCCCCATGCTGTATGTGCCAGCTTCCAGTGTTGTCACGCGCCGTGAGGGGTGGGAAGCACGAGCGGCCGACAAGACAGTGGGACCAGAACGTAGCGTCATGAACTCTAGTCGGGAAGCCGATAACGCATATCGCATTCATGTGCAGGTCCCCCATTCTGGCCAGATGCGGGCAGCCCCACAAAATGTTGCATAGGTCTCACGGCTAGTGTCTGCACTTGTGGCAGACGCTGCTGTCTCGATAGCCGCAGGCAGCCAAGCGAGCGGGCGTCCAGATGCCGCCGCCTAGCAGCGCTCGGAGGAGCCCTGCCTCCTTGTGGTCGGGAGCCCAAGGTGTCCGAAGCGGGTCGATGTGATCCAACGGCTCTCCAGTAACACCATCAGGGGAAGTGCGAATGCCGTCGTCATCGTCGTCGCAGTCGGAGGAGTCGGAGGGAGGTGAGTCGGGGACCTCGACCTGACTAAGTATAGGAAGTGCGGGCTCCATCCAGTAACCAGTGGGCTCTCGTGCTACCTGTAGATTACCAGGTAGCGGAGCCCTCCGGGCCCACCGTTCCCAAAGCCGTCGAACACCAGCTTCCCGAGCAAGTTGTTTGATAGTGGACGGCGCATCCTTCCTAATATTGAGGACCACCCCAAGGTCAGTCCTCCACGTGGTGCTGCTGGCGGTTGCCAATTGGAGCTCCTTGAGGGACATGAGGGTGGCCCCAGCGGGCCCAGCAATGTTCCTCCAGGGGTGCTCAGAATGGTAAACCTTCTGAATCTGACGAATCCAGGCGGCCTGGGGGATCCCGCAGGAGCAAGGCCCACTGAAATAGGGGAGCAGCCCAAAGCCTCGACCTGTGGGTCGGTGGTAGTTGACCCCTGTAAGCACGCCGTGAGCCAGCAAGAGGTGCTGGCCCCAGGGGCATGCCATACTCCACGCTGGGTGGCGCGCATCTGCTCCACAAGCCTGGGCGGCGCACCGTGGACTCCCAGCCCGTGCGTCATAGCTGGCGGAAGCGCCTGCTTGTGACACTTGCTGAGAAGCGGACCCGCCTTGCGCAGGGCTTGGAAACGTGGTCTCCTTCTGGCAACATCCCTGACCCTCTGACGAATCTTCGCGCGCTTGATGGACCTCCCAGAGACCTCAATCCCCAGGACTTCCAGGGCCGAAAAGTAAGCACAACCAAGATCCCGAAGGTGATGGGCCACCCATTGGCCCAACTCGGGCACAGAGCTCGTGAGTTTCATCGTGTGCGCCGCGGGTGGGAGGCCTAGGGCACGGAGAGCATGTACCAATAAACGAAGGACCTTCGCAGACCATGTGCCTACCTGTTCGAAAGCCCCATTCGAATGCACAGTGATGTCATCGGCGCAGGCATCGAGGCTACAGGGTATGTCCGAGGTGTGCCGCATGAGAGCATCGAGTGTGGTCAGCATAACACATTGGAGAGCAAACATGGCCATGGCGCAACCTGGACGGACACCTCTCTTGGCATAGACAATGGCAGAGTAGCCGTTGTCCCACACCAGCCTCCTAGCCCATATAAGTACACGCGAAAAGCACGGCGGAGAAGCTGACCGGGGAATCCGTGTATGACCACCGAACTGAGCAGCTGTTTCCATGGCACTTTGCCAAAGCATGTAGCAATGTCAACGATGGCATGGATCGAGGTCTGTGCATCGGGCTGCACGTGACATCCTGCTTCGGCACCTACCAATACCCTCGCAGCAGCGTCGGTAGTAGAACGTTGGGGTCCCAGGGCCAGGTCAGGGCGATTGAGGCTGCTAGCCCACAACCGAACCCATGAGAGGCGAGCTTTGGCCCACAGTCGGTACATAGGGGGAAGCAGCGCAATGGGGCGACACCCACCTGTAGATTTGCCCAATAACACCACGTGGGCATGGGAGAGGCAGGTGGGCCAGGCTCCTAAGGATTCGCATAGGTGTAACAAGTATCCCAAAACAACCAAGGCCCCGTTGGAAGCCAATGGCCAATGCCGCGGTCGGAATTGGTCGGGCCCGATGGCTGTACGTCGTGGGAATTGTATGGCGTCTTGTCGGAGCTCTCCGATCCTAAGTTGTGGAAGCCGAGGTCCGTTGGAGCAGAGGCCGCGCATTTCTTCAATCAAGTCCCCGTCGTCCAGATCATGAACGCTCTGAGTCAGAAGGTCTGTGGCCCCTTCGCACCCGTTCCAAACGTCGGACCAGGACCACCGTTTAACGTCACAGATGTCCCTGGGGGAGCTCGATGGGCACAATGCGGTGTCCACCTGCGAAATGTTCCATCCTCTCGGTTTTGACCACTTATGAATGGGTCCTTATTGCTGCCCCAAGTGCTGACGGATCCAATTCGTAAGGGACCGTTCGCGTGCCCTGGCAAGGCGACGCTCAACCGTGGCAGCAAGCTGGCCGAGGTAGGTCGACACGAAGCCTAACATGTAAGCGTGGTGCTGCAG